ATGGTTTTTCAAAAATATTAAACATAAAATTACTTATTTAAGTTGTTACCTTATATCACAATAGGTACTTAATATTTCTGTAATAAACAAAGTAAATCACAAAGTAAGTCACGACATGATTAGGCACATGGACGCTGCAAAATGTCTTCGTCGCTTGTATGAAATTCAACGCGAACATGACCGATCACAGAGCGGGAACTCCTGTATGCAGTTTCGGTCGTAGTTTCGGCAGGTTTGCCACCGAAACTAAACCGAAACTCGTTTTTTTGCCGAAACTCGACCGAAACCGAACTTTCGGTCGGACACTATTGAATTGTCATCCAGTTAAGAGCCACTTAGTTAAGACACGAAACGGAAAACTACAAGCAACTTAAAAGAGATGTAGCCATTAGTATGTGATAGATCATCATGTAAAATAATAATTGGAACTTCCTATGTTTTATATCACTTTTATTTGTAACTAATGTTACTGCAGTTTCGTCCTACGACATTTGCAAACAAATACAATAAACTGAAATAATTGACAACTACAGTAGGCAATTACAGACGGTCCCTAATAATTTTATTACCTGACATTTGTTTACCTGTGACAATGTGGGTACGCTAAACTTAACTGACCTGGTCTACTCGCCGGTTTACAGATTAGCGTACCCACATTGTCACAGGTAAACGAAATTCAGGTAATAAAGTCATTAAACACCGTCTGTTATTATCTACTGCAGTTGTATAGGTGAAAATTGTCAATTATTCCAGTTTATTGTATTCCTTTGAAAATGCCTTTGTAGGATGAAACTGCAGTAACCTTAGTTACAAATAAAAGTGGTATAAAATTTTTCATAGGTCTCCATCTTTGTCCAGTATTTCAGTTCCCAATGTTGTCTCTACCTATAAAGGACTGGTTCTACTGTTGTAAGGTATAGCTTAGACATACATTATTTAATGATGTTATTCATACAATACATTTATGACAAATCAAAAGGATATAACTAGTATAGTATTTAAAAACTGAAACAAAGTTTCAATCAGAACAAAAACTGGAAAGAGAGCAATTGTATATAGTTGAATAAAAACATGTTTTGAAGATGAGCTTCATCTTCCCTTTCAACACTGGATTGTGTAACATAAAATGATAAATAGGTAAATAGCTTAGAACATCAATATTTCTAGCCTAATCATCGACTGCTTGAGATTTACCGCATTTTTATGAATAATTGTGAGTCAGGTTGAACTGGGAAGTGAACTTTTTTATAAATCTGTAGCAAGAATTTTTTTTTCAAAACGGAAACGGGTTTGTCAAATTATATTTGAATTTTCTGAATTCTCTATTACTGTTTTTAGGGAAAATGTTTGCACTACTATTAAAAAGTTTTTTCAACAACACTGTTTTTATAACATTGAGGAATATATTGACGCGACAGGGTCTTTAACTTGTGAAAGGCCTCATTAAATCACCTTTTTATTGATTTTATTTTTATACTTTTAATTAACCTACACTCTTCTTTTTTATTATTTTGTAGTAGACGATTTAACTCCGAACAAGGATTAATGTATTCGTGTCTTGCCATATATGTAAAACGGTCAAATAAAGTACTCATCTCCACTCTTATCAAGATAGAAAATGAATTACCCACCAACATATGCTATTGTTTAAGTTGGTTATGTTATCTATACAATTGTTACTTTTGGTGCTGGCATGATCAACAACATTCCTGTTCGTAATGTGAATAGGGACTATTCTGCAAGGGTTTTGTGACTTGACGCCTGGGTCTCAATCTGCCTACTCCCAAGGTCTCGTCGCTGGTCTCTGCAGGGGTTTCAATCTGCCTACTCCCAAGTGTCGACTATATACATATATATGTTCTGAAAGGTATCTGCCGTCGGCTATTTGATGATCTGAAGGCCGGGTTGAACGGCGTCTGGCGTTTTTAGTTGTTCGACGTTTCGGCTTTGNTAATTATAAGGACCTATATTACTTTCTTAACATACTTAGTTAACCCTGTAAATGGTTTTCAGCTGTTTGGTAATAAAGGCTATTATTATTATTATTTATTATGAATTTTGTTTACAGACGTGGATCTTCCCCAACTAATTTATTTAAGGAATCAACTGTGGACAGAAATTTACAATTTAATATCAACTCTGATAGAATATAGCGGTGAAACGAAAGGTTGTTTATCGAGTAGGTCATTAGAAGTTCTGTCAGTTTTCTGCGACACTTTATCAGAATTGGGAATCCAACAGTTTTTGGAAGCTTTATGTGAATCTATAAGTTGTTTAGGATCACATGGTGAGAGACGTTCTTTAATTAACAGTGTGACCCAATCAGAATCGAACAAATTCTTGTAAAATTTTAATTGAATCGGTTTCAACCATTTTTTGAATCAGTAGTCTTTTGGGAGATGACGATATAAATGCCATAGAGTGAAACTCTGAATCTGGTGCAGTTCAAAACTTTCAAAAAGTATTCTAGAACGAAAGAAACATGAATGGTCAAATCATTATTAAGATCATTTCTGAATAATGCCAGTTTACGGAGTACAATTCAGATTTGAATGTGCTTTGAGAAACTATTTGGCTAAGTAATAGATTTGCCACCTAGATCTCAAGATATCAAGTTAAGATTTCTTTCGCTGGGACATCTCAAGGCAGTTTTAGTATTGTATTTTGGTTGGTTTCCGGGTTTTGCTGTGGTCTCTTTTAGTTACAATCTCCAAACATTTCGGCTGCAACTGCGACAGTCATCTTCGGTGGCGTGGTCGAAGTACTTTTCTTGACGTATCAACTGAAGTTCCAATTAATTTAAAAAAATATGTTTATGCAGAGTGTTCTTTTGTGACTAAGTGTAATGAGTTTTCAAATTTAAAATTATTCTATCTCTGTTATTAACAATTATATGTTTATGAAATTTTGCTCACAGATATTTCAAGATACTCTGAATCCAGTGCCGTAGTAATTTTCAAAATAATGAAAATACAAATTTTCCGTTTTCAACTATAAACAAGTATCTTATTAGTATGCCCTAAAAAGGGAAACAAATATTTAAAATTTTTGCTCCGTAGACAATTGAAAAAATGTTTGAAAATCGCTAATGAATTGAAATTTCACAAAGGCGTTTCCTTCTAATTGGGTCACACTGAATTATCATCATACAATTATTAAACAAAATTTACTAATTATTTTTTCAGATCTTCAGACTTCAGCATTGAATGCTTTGACATGTCTTTTACGAATCGAGTCACACAGACTTTTTGAGAAGGGAAGAATATCCATGGAAAAATTTTCTCTACAAATTTTGTTGGATTCGGTGAGGTCCTCAAGAAGTATAGTGATGTCTGATAGCAGAGAGACTGTTGGTCGCTCAAAAAACAACAAATATCAAAATCCTCGTAAAGATTTCGATAAATATAAGATGAGTTTACTTGAAGAGGCGTATTTCGGAAAAGTTTTCTCGGTCAAGAACGAAGAAGAAGTACACGAAGAAATCGAAATCAGCATCATCGAGGACTGTGACAGCGCTTTGATGTCTGGCGCGGAAATTTGCAAAATACTGCTGTACCTATATGACATTTGCGATCTTAAAGTCTGCGATGATTCTTTCAACAAAAAGAAACCCATCGTGATATCAGCGCTTTCGGGGTTATTGTGTATCTCGAAAGAAGCGAAACGTTTCGCCTCGGGAAAGGGTCTGGTACTCCTGATCGTGAAACAACTCAGAGACTGCCATATAAGACTCAGTTTGGAATCTGTAGAGTGTTTAAGAAGAGTCGCGGACAAAAGGCGGGTGTGTCCTCTGTTGAAAGAAGCTAACGATTTGATTGGGTTGCTCACGAATTTCATGTTGAACGACGAGTCTGTTAAAACTGAGGCGGCCACCCTGAACTTGGCTGACATCATTCATAAATTATGGACGTGGTTTTTAGTACAGAATGTTTACTTGGTTGACGTACTGAAGATGATTTGTGTTTATACCACAGGCTGCAATTTGGGTGAGTATATTTTAGGATTAGTTCAAATCTGTCTCAAAATAGTACAAAATAAGTACTGCTTCCAACCACCAGAAGAGTAACACTCTTCTCGTCGCGTGTTACGCCATACAAGTTGGTGTCATCAAGAGATGAATCAGNCCTATATGTGATCGTCACTATTATGACGATTATGTATAGGAGTACATAATTTATCAATCATTTTTATGATCATCTCATTACAAAATTATTTGTTTAGTACTCTGTAGTCTATCTGCAGACGTCTTACAAAAACATCTTAAAAGAGATATTTTGCAAATACAGGGTTTACCGGGATATTATACGTATATTTTGATGATTTCATAGATACTTTTGACTGTATATGAACATACCAGAATATTGTTGTCCAGATCTATTCTTGAGGTAAGACGTCCTTCTTCTATAACTTGCCCATTCTTGTCGTTTTTCAGTTTTAGCATCCATTTTATGGGATAATCTACCGAAGGGTCGCACATTTCTACTCTGTCGACAGTTATTGTGGCTTGAATAACCTTAAAAATGAAAAGTTCATTCGTGGATGTAAGTTAGATGGTATAATGATATCATTATTATCGATATTCTTACATAAAATTCACCATTCGAAGTGGTAATTTGTATTTGACGCGATTACTCGTTTGATATGTGTCGATAATTAGGACAATAGCTGAATAGCCCGATATAAAAAGTGATTCATTATGCCACATTCATAAATAAATCTTGGCGTAGTTTAAGCCCTGACAATGTTGAATACCAGAAGGACTAACGAGGTCTTACCGTTTAACGTGTGATTACTAACACGTTGGACGATAGGAAGTGAAAATCGATCATCCAGGCCTTGCGGCTCGAACCACGGTTCACACAGCGGTCGATTTTGAGTGAGTGGAGCAAACCGCCCTCATCAACCCGACCCGCTACCGTCATACTACTACTTTCATTAACCTTTTTTTTCATGTTCGATAAATTATCAATGTTCACATACATTGTTTTGGCATCCAGCAGCTGAGCTGGTTTATATTTATATTTTATACCCCATGTACTTACTCAGCAAACAAACACTGTTGTTCAGTAGACAACATTGAACATCGGCCATACTGTTCATAAACAATTTTCAATGGAAGGTAACTCATATACAAATTGAACTGAAAACTAACGGCAACAATGTTAAATGTTAGAACTAAATCCTTACCGGGGTCATTTTTATTGTCTATGCATCACCATTGTAAATAATTGATAAGTAAGATGATTCCATAAAATTTGCCCCCCGTAACAAGATAGCTTCTGCATATCGATACGATGTACGAGCGAATAGGTGAACCAGTTCGTTAAATACTTTGAAACATCGGTAAACTGATCAATACTTCGTAGGTCTATTATATTTGCTTCCTTTAAATGCCATAACTAGTCATTCGGTTTCTTCATTATCAAGCGTCCTTATCTGCATAGGCGTAGTGTGTTCTGTTTCTTGTGAAGGTGACTTTGTTTTGTATTTATTAAATATATTTTATTATATTTATTAAATAGAC